AAAAAAAAAAAAAAAAAAAAAAAAATTTAAAAAAAAAAAAAAAAAAAAAAAAAAAAACTTCGAGACTTACCTGTTGCCGTACTCTCTCTCTCTAAAAAACTCTCTCTCTCTTTGTCTTTTTTTTTTTAAAATAAAAAAAAAAAAAAAAAAAAAAAAAAAAAAAAAAACACACACACACACACACAAATACGGCACACGTGCACCTGCCTGATGGCAGGACGGGACGCACTATCTGTCGATAAACAGATCAAGAGTTCGAATCCTGTTCAGATTCTTCAGAACAAACCATACTTGCAACCACACGAGCCACACATTCGTGCGGAGTTCCATGCCGAGTTCCGTGCGCGGGTTGCCTGTGCGGAATCGTGCAGGTTTTTTATTTTATCTTTTTCTGGGAGGGGGAACGGGGGGGCGTATGACAGAAAGATGGGGATATGGCGAGGAGAGGGGGATATGGAGAGGAGGAGGAGGATGTGGACGAGGAGGACAACAAGGATAGCGAGGAGGAGGGGGAGGAGAAGAGATGGGCGGAGGGGAGGGAAAAGAGGAAGGGCAGGAGGAGGAGGACGGGTGGGAGGAGGAGGAGACATGGACGGCGAGGATGGGGAGGACACAAGGAAGGGGAGGACATGAGGACGGGGAGGACACGAGGAAGGGGAGGACACGAGGAAGGGAAGGAGACGAGGAGGCATGGAAGATGATGAAGTACGAGGAGGAGGAGACAAGGAGGATGAGGAAGGGCAGGAAGAGGACGAGTCAGAGGAGATGAAAAGGAGAAGGGAGGAGGAGACATGGAGGATGAGGAAGGGGAGGAGGAGCAAGGTGAGGCAGTACTCCTGTAAATTGTTGTTCATCTTGCTTATAATTTTGGCGAGGGGCCTCAAACGCACCATTTCGACCCTGGCCTTTTTTTTTTCCTGAAGGGGGGGACGGGTCGTTCCCCGCACACCCCGTGCGCCGCACGGGATCGGTTGGCCGCGTGCGCCGCACGTAGGGAACCGCCTGCACGACGTGCGCTTGCAAGTATGGAACAAACTCAAGAGTTTTTCTTTTTCGCAAGAAAGTATTACCATCACCGAATCAGTCGAACCTTGAAATTTGAAATTTGAGCAAGACAGTGCCATGAGTGCATTGCATGTTAGACAAACACTCGAAAAAAGACCAAATAAATATTTTCTAAGTTTTTCAACAACCAAAATGTTGGACGAACACTCGAAAAAAGACAGAATCAATGTTAAAAAAAAGTTAAAAAAAAGACACTGATATGACAAACGTTCTAAAAAAAGACACTGACATCACAAACGTTAAAAAAAAAGATACTGATATCACAAACATGCCCAAGATGCACCGACAACTACAGACCCGATGGTCCACACATGTAACTGTTTGAATCTGTCATAAATTGATCACGAGTTCGAATCCAGTCCGAGATGACAACGTAAGGGTCTAACAGACCCCCTTTTGAAAAGAAAAAAAAAGGAAAAAAAGAGAGAAAACTCAGAAAAGAGAAAAGCAAAAACAAATATGTTGCGCGGTTGCATCGACAGTAAGCAAACACGGAGAGAACGAAGACACAAGCAAAAATCAAGGGCAAAGTTGCGCAATCAAGGATCCATGACTCAAGCACTGAAACAAGCAGCTGAGCGGCACGGCATATAACAATGAGACAGATGACATGTCATAGAAGAGGAGATGGATCAAAGATCAATTAAGGACAGATTTTGTAGACGCCTGGCTTTCCCGGGGCACATGGCCGGGCGCCCCGGGCGCCTCGCCCGGGTAGGGACCCCGCTCGGGGTACCCCGGGCATGCGAAAAATCCATAGAATTTTTTTATTTGTTTTTTTTTACTATCGGCCTTTGCTGCACTTTCCGAGTACGACCCAAATCCGCCCTCATTTTTTTTTCATGCATACTGGTTTCTGTGTGTTGGGGGGAGAGGGGGGGGGAGAGGACTATAGAGGGCGGGAGGAGGGAGGATCACGAGAGGGAGAAGGGAGGAGGCAGGCGCTCTGGCGGGAGGGAGGAGGGAGGCTTTATCAGCCTCAGCGCGAGAGGGGCCCGGGTGCCTGCTCGGGGGAGTCACACGGCCAGGCAACCTGGGAACCATTCTGGGCGCCATGGGGTGCCCCGGGCACCCGGGTTGGAACGCAGTACTGGGCACTATATAGATCGAAGACGGATGGAGGACGGATCGAAGACAAGGATCAACGACTCAGATCAACAATATAGGCCATAGAAGAGGAGGCAGATCAAGGATCGATTAAAGACAGATTGTGTAGGCACCAGGGTTGCCGGCGTTCGGGCCGGGCCGAACGCCCGAACGTACGGGACCCCTTCGG